GCAGATTACTGCATTCAAAACATCAAATCAAAGGAGGACAAATCACTAAAAGTCGCTGTGTATTCGTGAATGCAGTAAGTTCTAATCAACATTTCCACCGCAGTCCGCAGACATTCCGTAACGCCGAGGAGCGGAACCCGCTGCTTTGGGAATCGCGGCGGCAGCGGCAGTCGGGAGGAGGGGGGGGGAGGGGCGGCGGCTGGGGGCGTGGCCCGGGGACACTGCCAATAATTGACGAGGCCACCGCCGCCGCCGCCGCCGCTTGAATATGCAGCAGTTCCCCGAAGCGGCGACGAGGGCTCGCCTTCGTGACTTCTGCGCCGCTTTTGCCCCTTTGCTGCCTCCGGCGCGCCCCGCCCCGCCCCCTCCGCTCCGCTTCCGCTTCTTACTCTCCTCACTCCTTCAATCGCCGTCTACTGCCTCCCCGCACGGCCCCGTTCCAACCCACCTCGCGCCGTTCCTCTCCTCCACCGGGACAGGTCGCTCAGGGCATTAACTGCTGTCACTGCAGTCCCCCTGAAAGGAAGGTTCTAGGTCGAGTCTTGACGGTGCCAGGATTTTCGACACAAGCTTATCAGCTAGATTTAATTCAGCCGCTCCCTGGAGGATAATTGTAGCGAACGGCTGCTCTGAGCGGTAGTTTTCCGCGGTTTCTCCGATCAACAGCCGGCGAATGCCGGAGCAGTACACTAACAAACGGACCACGAGTCATTCCTCTCCCTTGTCCTATCCTTATCTCTTACTTACACGCACTTACACTAACATGCAATATACTATCAAACATTCCGAGAGGCTGGCCGGGAGCTTAGAGATTGTCCTGGCTGCGGCGGCGCACCCCTGGTAGGAGATACCTACTTGGGAAATCTCTGCTAGCCGACTGTAGGTCGGCGAAGGATCTCGCCATACTCCGATACCTCTCGAGTCCAAAATGCACTATACGTACGCGACTTATAACCTCATTAATTGATGCGCTCGGAATCAATCTCTCCCCTCTGTTCCTTCCCGCTACATATCAGCTGGCCTCGTTTCCAGCGGTCCTTCTCCTTCCCTCTCCCTCCACCGCGCTCCTCAGGAACTTTTTAAGTACAAGAGAGTAAAGTAGAAGTAAGAAACTAACTAGTACGAGAAGTATGAGTCATTCTCTAACACCACTTGTTCTTTCCTCTGCATAACCAAAGCCAACCAAATTACGATGGTCGTTTGATGGCCCACCGAACGTCAATGACACTTCGCTGCCAATACCCAACTCAGTTAGCAGCGCCTCGCGACACATCTTTGCGGCCTCCACCTACCCTCCCCACCCCCACCCCCACCCAACGACAAATGACGAGATGTCATAAATTGCTGTTGCCTAATCATCCACATCCGCGGACTACTTCTTACGAGTTTAAGAAAAACAAACCCCACCTCCGGAGACAAATTTTCCTTTCGAAATTCTCCGAGAGGTTTTAGAGTTCTGTTTTTCAACGGCTTTTGTTATAAAGAAGATGCTCCAAAAATGTGTTCCGGGTTGTGTACATTAGGGATGTAATAGCGAAGTTGACACTTAAGCACGCTATGCATACAATTGAGACACTTCTTGACAGAAAGAACTCGAAAATAAGAAAATAATCCGCTTATTACTAAAATGAGATTTGTACCTAACGAAATTTGAATAGCATTTATGTAGACTTTGCTGGAATAAATAATAAATTAAATGTTTTAGATTGGTGATAATTTCTATGTACGCCTTGAAGACATTTTTTCATATTTTCTCAATTTTTTGGTCCCATAAAAGGAAAATAGAACTTGGGGTGTTAGAACAGCACATAAATTTTGCGCAGTATTTCTAAGTTTTGCAAATTACAAAATTCAGACGGTTCAAATTCAAACGAAAATGAGACTTGCGCCATTTTTTAAACATTTTTTTCTTTAATCTATGCGAGGAAAAAACTTGAAGAACAATTTTGACACCTTTTTGAAAAAAAAATATAAATTGCCTAAACATCAAGAAATAATTTTGCGAAAACTACTCGTATTCTCAAAACATTGTAAACGACCTTATTTGAAGAACTTATTTATTAGAACAGATTACAATAAGAAAACGAGAATACGCAAAATATTATATATATTTCATACATAAAAGGAGCAAGAAATTAGAGCGTTTTTCTTACTCATTGTGTCATTTAATACATAAAGAAGCAATAAAAATCGTCTTTTAAGGTATCAAGCATCCACAAAACGAGTTTTTCTAGGGCATCCTGAGAAAACAAACGACTTCGCGCTCCATCATTACATAACTTCCTCTATACTACCTTCATTACTCCCTATATACGTACGTATACGAGAAAGCAAAAAGTGAGAAAGCGTGCGAAAGTGAGAGGGCAAGAGAAAGTAATGGGAAAGATAGAGCAAGGAAGGGAACGCAAAGCGAAAGCATACGCCCCGAGTTGGGACGATTGATGCACGTGACGACGACGGAAGAACGGCCGGGTCAGCCGACGCGGNNNNGGCGAGGCCGAGGCGAGGGGCGCGCGTTCCGGGAGGGGATTCCCCAGCGCCGAGTCAAATGGCAGGGAATCGCCCGCGCATTTCACAGCAATCGGCCCCGAAGGACCAGCCAAGGCCGCTCCTCGCCAGGGCGGAGCAGGGGAGCTGCGGGGACTTTCCACGGCTGAGCGCACAGGCAGGGGGTGGGGGTGGAAGGGGTGAAGAGGTGGCTGAGCGCCTTCTTCTGGGCGAGTGGAGACAAGCTAACAGCAAACACTCTTCAGATTCTCTTCGCGAGGCTTAAAAATCGTATGAACGAAAGGTCCCCTTGAAGCAATTACAGTGAATACACTCCCCTGAAATGAGACGTGACAAGCAGAAACAAACATATCATAATAAAAAAACAATAATAATAGTAATAATATTAATAGCAATAATAATTGAATAATTACAAGACGAAGAAATAAGTTACGATTGTTGTTCCTGCCGTGCCCTTAAACTCACAATCTGCAAAAATTATCTGAAAAAAAATTCGCTTTTGAGTTATAGAAAACATATTTGCATCGGTAATCGAAGTGCAGATTTGATATTTGTACTGTTAACAAAGTACTAATATACCACCGGTTCTACTCCTATCACTATCACGCAAAATGAGATCTCAATGAAACGTGCGTGTATGGAAGATACATTTATGTCAGGTTGTAAAACAAGAGCCCATCTCAAGCTTTACTCAACTGATCAGAGAAACTGGGCAAAAATGTGATCGAGTTTATTTTTATCGAATTTATTTGTATAGTTCTGGACTTCTGATGTTCCTTAGAAACATCGCACGATATATTGCTGTCCAACTCTAAATCCTGAGCGTCGTAGGTTTGCAAAAAGGAAATATGCAAACGTTTACAATTTCAATTCTTATTCCCACAAAACTTTCTAGATTATGCACTAGAATACAAAACGGACTTTTTTGGAACCAGAAAAGTTAGTTTCGAACATATTCTATTAACAATGAATGTGCCTGGTGTGTATACATGCAATGAAATGTTCACATTTGATCCGAAATCAAAGTAATAGTTACAGGTGCATGCATTTGAAACATGAGCATCGCGTGAGAGATGATAACGGCGAGAGCTGTGGTCATGGAGAGCGTAGGTTCATACTCGACACGCACGTACGCTCCTATGAATATGCATGTCCCGCACTGTTGCTGGAGCCTCCACTTTAAAAGTCATATCTCATTCAGTAGGGGCGATATTACATTCATCGCCAGACTTCTGGCAACTTGTGAGTGTGTGTCGAACAACGGAACGAGAGAATCCAAAGTAATTGCATGCATGGAAAATGAAGGTGATTCGGTTCGATCGTAAGGGGCTAAGAGTAACGCGTTCTCATGGTGAATTCAATTACTATCTATTACTAGTGGGATTTCAAATGTGAAATTATAGTGTTACTGTCAATATTATTAATTGTGTGAGCTATTTTACTTTTCATACATTTTTAATAAGATATCTGGAATTTAATTCTAAAACCTTTCACAATATGTGAAAGTCAACCCTTGCATAGTTAGGATTCCTTTGCTTCCTTATTAAGTCATATTTAATTAAATAATTACTCTGAACATAGTCTAAGCCCCACGGGTAACTCACTGGTTAGGATGGTCGCTTTCCAAGATGCGACCTCAGGTTCGATTGCCGTTCGGGCAGATTATAGTGTGCGCTTTCCTTGCTATGTATCACTGTCTGTTGCTGGCTGACGATGAGAAAGGGTGAGAAGACCAGAACACGAAGTAGGAATGTCTGTGTGCTAACCACACGTACACCTTAGCCCCTGACCGCAAAGCTGGGGCACGGCTAGTAGGCCTTGGCCCCGTCAGTGGTTCTTGTGCTACGAGTACAGACCGACAGAACATAGCCTAACTAGTACATGGTGATGATTGATCGTGTTCGCAGTAAAAAGAGGTTATTGTGCTATTATGGCAATTAAGAGTTGCGGGAGACATGTTCAAGAACATGTGTAAGAATGTTGAAAACCGTAAAACTGAATATGTAAGGAGCAGATTGTATGACGTTCTTCATCGGTTATTTAAATATGATATAATTGCACAGCCCGAGATGATTGCCATTCTTAATACTGAAAAATACTGAAACACGGTAGAGAATAGATAAATAATTAGGTAATATGTAATCTCCGCCGTATCTTTTAGTTACAAAGCTTAACTAATTTAACGCTGAAAATTCAAGTAAACATTCACGTGATTATGAAGAATTTTTAAGATTGTTGTAGAAAATGAAATCGACTTTAATGTAACATAGAACAGGTATACATACAATTTGACTGTGACACTTTGACACAAAATAAGGCGTGGATGGGATGAAAACGAAATTTGTAATACAAGTAGCGACAATCAACTCTTTCCTATCTTTCGATCTCCAATGGTAAAGTAATTCCATAATGGTTAGTTGTATAAATAAATAAATTAATGCTATAGTTATAAAGCTCTTTTTCTTCGTTTTAACTAGCATAATATGTAATACAAGTCTGGAACAACCTTCCTGCAACTTTTTAATCCCCTCCTTGTTCTTCACGTTGGCATCACTATCATTTGGCCTTCCTTCTATTTCGTCCATTTCTAAAGCATTGTCAAGTGAGACAGTATTCCCCTATACATTTCCTTGCTATCTGTATAACTTCTTTCAGTTTGGGAGCCTAAGGAGGTGTTACCGTACACACTTCTTCAACAAATTGTATTTGGGTTTAATTGCGGTTGCTCCTCTGCAGGATAACATAAGATGTACTGCTTTCAGCTCTATCTTTTATGCCCTTTTTCGTCTTTTGTGCGAGTGTGTATCTGCATTTAAACATATTAACTGAATCCTTAATATACCACATGAATCAAATTATTTTTGTGTAATGTTTATCCAATTACACTTGCAAAATTTCAAAAGATTGGAATCTCTTGGATTCTGAAATTTCTCAGAATCAGCAACATAGTTTCATCTTCCATAGCCCCTGATGATTGCAACCCGCACGACAAGCCTGCACACCAAGCTGCCTTTAAGCACTTCACAGGCGTTTATTATCCGAACCTTTTTGGAATTCTGACGAAATACGTTTGTACAGAATTACTATTGTTCTTTCTCTTACGTGGAAGAGTGTTACATACTTAAAGTTTTCAGAAGTATTATTTATTAGTTATTATTTTCGAAAATATATTAAATTGAGAATAGGGTATTCAATAGTGATTAGTTTTCTCGAATAATATTTTTAGTGCACAAAAACGCAAGGAACACTAGTATATCAAATTCCATATAATCACTGATTTATTAAGCCACATTTAATCATTATTACACTCTAACAAAATAATATTAAAATAATCATTGGATTGCACGCTCTGAGTGCTTAAGGAACATAGTTCGTCTTTATCTCTGTTCTTTTTGACGGAGAAACGTAATCCATCACTAAACTTCATTTATTTTGATTTTTATATATGAGAGCAATTAAAACATTAGATCGAGTAAATTTAAATTGTTTCTTCTCTTACGAGGTCATTCCCACTGCTGTCACTCTATTGCAATAGAAGACATGTTGAGTTCTTGAATGTGAACTAATTTAACTCACACTGATCTTAAATAAGCTTAAGCAAAACAGAAACAAAGTATCAAAAACAAAATTAACAGGAATAAAGTTGTTACAAATTATTCATGAACTAACAGGATCTTGAGTATTTCTCGTACAAATTTTGTGAGCATCCGAGGAAGATTAGTTTAAGCGGCCTGATTAAATTCACACGCCTGAGCAACCAGCCAATCTTGGCATCGACGTCTCTAATGAGTTTCCCATCTTGAAAGCTCTCGCCTTGAAAGCTCCCGTTGCACGTTCTGCGGGAAGGGCTTTGAGCTCGTCGATCGCGTTAGTGGTGCTATCAGTGGAACGGAAATACGCAGCACTGCGAAAGTCTGGAGGATTCGTTTATCTTACTACCCACACGTCACACGCTACACACGAAGTGTATTTGTTTTTTTTGTCATATTTTTACGCGGTAGATCGCTCGAGAACTTCATTTTTCTCTCTTGCGATTGGTTGGTTGTTAGTGATTCCGGGCGCGTGAACTACTAGGGTCATTAGTCCCATAAGTGTAGCGCATGCTTTTACTTGAGATGTGGCGGCCATCTTCCCTCGCTGGATGGTAAGATCCGGCACCGACCTACCGTCGGCTAGCGGGGTTTTCCCACCACCAGGTTTCTTCCACCAGCGGGGCACCGCCCCAGCCGGGACAAGCGCTCAGCTACCGATCGGCCACCTGGGATGTGCGGTAGTGTTGTGCATGTAAGTTTAAGTGTGTGTAAGACAAGGAAAGATTGCGACATTTGTCTAAGTTTTATCAAAAAAACCACGGAAAACTACTGATCGGAGCAGCCCGCCGCTAAAATTTTCCTCCGGGCAGCGACTGAATTCGACCTTGCTGACAAACCAGTGTAGAAAATCCTGCCGCCGTCGGGACTGAAACCTAGAACCTCCCAGTCAGAGGGGCAGTGACATTAGTTGGTGCCCTGAGCCATCTCTTCCGGTAAAAAAGTATGGAGGATTCTTTTATCTTACCACCTCTGCGTCACACGCTACACACGAGGGGCAATTGTTTCTTTCGCTATATCTTCCTCTCTTCCGCTCTCATATCTCGTCGTGTAACAGTGTTGGTCTTTCGCGATTGCACAATATTTCTGCTGCATTCGAATTCAAAAGACCATCACTTCTAGCTGGTGTAAATTTTAACTATTTTGAAAGCGGCACAAATAGATGGGGATGGAAGTCGTTATACAATACTTTACATAGTCCACACATTAGAGACTACAATTTACTTTCGTAGGGAAGGTAAGTGTTTTTTAATATAGCAGTATATTTTTTTAAATGTTGCCAATAAAGTATATTGCATTAAGACGTTTATTAGGAGGAATGTAATTCAATTAAATAAACTTTATTATTATACCTTTTTGTCATAATTTTTGTCTCTAAATACTACTGTGCACGTTCACTGCCATGCGCGGTCTCGCTATACTACACGTCGGTAACATATCGTTTCCATGCTAATGACGGCTAATGACGTTCTTGTACACATGCTAAAACCTTGAATCTTGAACCTATGTGTATGTAATATTATTTAGAATTGAATTTATTTAAAAATATATATGAGTCCATGTGGACTTTTGAGAACGTTTTACAATTGTTAACGTTATAATGAGACAAGTGGGGAATATTATTATTCAAGAGACAAACTAGCGCATGAGACAAAATGGAACTAAAAAACTTAAATTTCCCTTTGAGACCGTATAGTCTCATACTAAAAACAATTGAATGTCCCTACGAGACCACTTGGTCTGAAGCTAAAGAAAATTGAATGTCCCTCCGACACCATATGGTCTCTCACGACAGCCAACGTAACATTCGTTGGCAACATGGACGGGTCTCCTCTTCCATCACTTGGCGTCGTCGTCGTCGGGCCTTCGCCAACTCCGCGTGGACTCCCCGCGCTCGCCCTCGCCTTCGCCCCTACGCGCGGGGGGGGGGGCAGTCGATATTTAGGGGCCATAAGAGCGGGCGACGCGACGGCCGGCAGCGGCCGTAAGACGTCGGGGAGGGGAGCGCCTGCGAGTAGAGCAGTCGACGAAAGTAGCCGGGCAGGGAGGAGGAGGAGGCGGCAGCGGAAGAAATTGTAGTTGTGGCGGTACTGGAAGAGGATGAACAAAGAACGAGAAGCACGGAAAGAAGATGAAGAAAGAGCGGCGGAATTCCAGGAAGTGAAGAGGTGCGGGGATGACTAACGCGGCGGCCAAAGCAGAGGTGGCGAAGACTGTTGCTGGACACGACCAGAAAGGCGCCCTGGAAGAATGACAAATGTAGCTAGAAAGTTGCGTCAAGCGGTGTCGAGGGGGGGGGAGATTTTCGGGGAAAAGCTCCGCGAAGGAGCAGCGGGGATGGGGGCGGAGCGGGGCCGTGAATTGGTGACGAGCTTGCGGGGGGCTGTGGGGGCGGCGAGGGAGCCGCGCGGCCTGGCGGGGGACGGGGGCGGGGGGCGAGCGCGGGCCGGAAAACGCGGATGAGGCGATGCGCGGGCGGTGGTCCATTTCCGGCCGCCGCGCCGGGTTATATGTGCCCTCCATCGCGCGGCGTTATTTTATTCAGCGCTCGCGCCTCGCGCTTGCACTAAGTGCCCGGGGGCAAGCCGCGCGCCCACGGCGCCATGACGCGCGGCGCCGCCCCCCCCCAACCTAAGACGCGCTGCTCCGAGAACGAACGGAGACGCCGCGCCGTTGGCAAGCGTCTCTGCTATTTTATCTCGTCCTTTTTTAGCTCAAAACAATTTGCGGTATCTGATCTAGGCATTGTTTCTTTCTCGTTGCAGAGCAGAGAGACAGTGAAGTAATGCTGCCTGAAAAACGGCGAATTTTCGGCAGAAAAAATCTCATTGCAGGGCATTGGCAACGATAAAGCGAATAAATCCAGTTGCTAAAAATTCTCTGTTACGTGGTGTAGCAAGAATCCATGTTTTGTGGATCCTTATACCGAAAAATCGAATGACGGAAAAACGTGTGTCAGTCCGTCTGTCTGTCCGTGTACAACGATGTCGGTTATACCTTTCAACCGATTTTGTCCAAATTTGATATTCTTCAGTTGATCTGGCTGATGTGACGGTGCCTTGAATTTGAAACTGATATTTTGATTTTTGGGTCTACTTTACATGAAGCCCCCAGGACATTTTCCAAATTAAAAAAAAATGGTTCTATCGTTTTTTTATTAAATTTTGTAATTGGATTATGTTAAAGGAAGTTTAAGAGAATGGTGCAGGTCTCATGTTCGTTAAAATCTTTGATTTATTTAAAATTGCAAAAGTATAAAATTTTTCGACGTCTTCCGTCAACTACATTTATGAATATGAAAATATCTTATCTTAATGAAATCTGCTCCTTAAAGATAGATTTTGAAATACGGTTGTATACAATTTACCGAAAATTTGAGTACTTTTCGCGTAATTTTGCGTGAAAATAAGGGTGAGAGGTACGTGCTACTTTGGATCAATGGTTCTTCAGTCCTATATTGATCTTCTCTAGAGAAGTAATGTCTGCATTGTAAGTATTTCAATTAAGGAAAAATAAACACTCGCCAGATGGGATCGTTCAACTCTCAGATGTGATGAGAGACTGCGCATGTGCAATGAGTCTCATCTGTCTTGTGCAATGCGGGTACGACGATGCCGCGTTGAGCTGCAGGCCCGTCGCACCCGCTCGCACTGCTCTCTGCTTTTATTACCGCCTTTCGTCCCAGAAAGCCTGTCAAGCAGAGCAATAAGAAACTTTCACAACGTCTCGTAGACTTTTTGCGGTAAAATCTAGGTTAATAACCTACCTCGTAGGCAAATCGTCTCTTTATAATGAGTGTACGTATTCCAAAACGTACAAAGTATACTAACTCGACGAGACTGAATTGCAAGTACACGAGATGTCTCAAGGGAAAAATTATCTAGAGAAAATGGGAAATGTATGTATGCAAATATGGTCCAGCTATTTTGTGAAAAAAAAATTATACAAAGTAGGGACGTTGATAGAAATATCAGCAACGTTTGCAACTTGTACAA